TGGGGGCAAGGACGTTCCTCGTCTGCTTGGACTGAGGCAGTGATCCTGTTTCTTGGATGAGCCGAGCTTGCTACCCGAACTGCTGCCAGTGGAGGTGCGAGAGCCTGGCCAAGTCATTGGAAAAGTTTTAATTCCACCCACCATCCAGGATCAGCCGTGGGGTATGTTCACCAACCCTGCACTATTTTTCCTTGCCTTAGTGTTGTAGTTGCATACATGTACGTATGTTGTGTTGACCAGCTACCTACATGGGCTCATGTCCTTTCTGTATTTGGGGCCAAGTGTGAGTGTGCCTATTTTTGGGTGAGAACCTTTCATGAATCCTTTTGTGGGAGGGCAATTGTTATGTGGATTGAATATCGATCCCTGGTTTTAGTTTGCCCTACCCTTTTCACTTTTGGGGTTCATGGTTTATTGCTCCTTAATTAATGAGAGCTTGTTATGATAGCTTACCAATTTTTGGCACAACTTTTTGTGGCTAGCCAACTACACTGAGAGGGCATTGCAGTATTTATAGCTGTGTCATCAATTTGTTTTATTGTGTATTGGTTACATTGTATTACATGTACTAAGTCAAGTTGTGTTTCTTGACTGTACTGCATGTATTAGAGTGTGCTTAAAATTGCACATGTACGTTGGTTTGAGACACCTTCTCTGAAACCTCGGTGGCAGACATGGCAACTCCTGAGGCCCTCAGTGATATTTTTGTGCAGTCCCAAAAGGCCTTAGCTGAGACTTTGGCTGGGGCATTTCAGAATTTGAAATTCCAAAGGGCTCCTGCAGTGAAATTGGCTAAGTTTTATGGCCAACCTCAAAAAGTGGGTAAACCCACTTTGAATGAGTGGATTGATGAGCTAGAGACATACTGCAGGCAGTTGGGCCTTGAGGAAAGAGACAAAGTCGCTGCAGTTCTTGATCACCTTGGAGGGGTAGCAAAGGAGGAGGTCTATTGTTGTTCCCCTAGTGACAGGGATGACTACTCAAAGTTACTGAGCATCTTAGAGACTCGATTTGGTTCCAAAGAGTCTGTACAAACGCTTAATGCTGCTTTTTATTCGAGAAAGCAGCAAGGGGATGAAAGTTTAGCCGATTTTAGTCGTGCCTTGGTGCTCCTGTATAGTCAGGTTGAGTCCGCGGCCAGCGATCCCCAAGAACATGAGGCATTAATGCGCCTCAAGGAAAAAGCATTGAGGGAGCAGTTTGTTAAGGGTGTCACTAAACCTTATGTCAGACATGAGTTGCGGAAACTCGGAATGGACAATCCTGACTTGAGTTTCTATAAGTTCAGAGACCTTGCATTGAAGTTGTACCAAGACTTTGATGAAGCTGAAGAGACTAC